ACAACGAGTACGACGACACCGACGACGTCTCCAACGACTTCGACGACGCCGACAACGACGACGACGACGGCGACGACGACACCGACGACGACGACGACGACGCCGACGCCGACGCCGACGACGACGACGATGACAACGACAACGACGACGACGCCGACGACGACGATAACGACGACACCGACGACGACGACGACGCGAACGACGCCGACGACGACGACGACGACGACGACGACGACGGCGGCGGCGACGACGACGCCGACGTCGTCGACGACGACGACGACAACGACGCCGACGCCGACGACGAAGACGACGACGACGTCGCCAACGAATACAACGAGGAAGGAGGGAGGACGACGACGGCGACAACGACGACAACGACGAGGGAGGAGGGAGGACGGCGACGACGACGACGACGACGACGCAAGAGCGCGCGCGCACGCTTTAATTGGAAATCCGGTTTGCGAAACCTTGTGGTTTTGAAGGTTTTTTGGACACACGATTTTGACATCCTTCCGAAATCGATCGGTTTTGAAGGTTTTCGGCATACGCGCGCGCCGGCGCGCGCGTCTGCATCTCGTCCCGTTTTTTTGCAGGGGATTCTCGCGACGGCACACGCGCAAGGGCATTCGACTGATTTCGGCATGAGCGCGCGCGAAGCCCGTGTGGTAGCATTTTGTGAAAGTCTTGAGAAAAAATTGTTGTCTCAAGATTTCGCAAGAGCTTTCGCGGAAGTTGTTTTCGCAACTCTTATGTTGCGAAACCATGCGTTGTTGCATGTTTTTTTGGGAAACTCGATTGCGAAATCCTTCCCGCACCGAAGGTTTTCGAAAGATTTCGGCAGGCGTTGGCGACGAGGCGCGCGTGTGCGCTTCGTCTCAACTGTTGCAAGGGATTCGCGAAACAATTCGCGAAAAAATACTATGTTAGAACAAAAAATGTCACCGCATAGTGATTTTTTCCCAGGGAACCTCAGAGGGGGGGAACCCGGTTTGGCTGGGATGGTACGATCCCATATTCAGGATGGACGAGCGTGCAGAATATATATATATATATATATATATATATATACATATATACATATTTGTATATATATATAGAGATATGAAACCATACTATCCCAGAGGGGGACCGATAAGTTCGGGGGGGGGGGAATCTATTAATCTTGTAGAAAGGAGAATCCATTCTGCTGAACTTGAAGTCGTCATCTTCACTGTTCGCGCAAACACCCCACCCACCCACCCGCAACTTGGTTTGCAAAACCTCTTAAGACCGACTACGACGACAACGGCTACGACGACACCGACGACGTCTCCGACGACTTCGACGACGACAACGACGCCGACGCCGACGACGACGAAAACGACGACGACGGACGACGAGGGAGGAGTTAAGACGACGACGGCGACAACGACGACAACGACGACAACGACGAGGGAGGAGGGAGGACGGCGACGGCAACGACGAGGGAGGAGGGAAGACGACGATGACAACGACGACGACGACGACGACGACGGCGACGAAATAGGACGGACGACGACGAGACGCCGACGACGGACGACGACGACGAAGGGATGAGGAGGAAGGACGACCACGGCGACAACGACGACGGAAACGACCACGACGCCGAAGAGGACGACGACGACGAACACGAAGAAAGACAGGGGACGACGTAGGCGACGACGACGACGACGACGCGGGATGAGGGAGGACGGCGACGACGACGACGACGACGCAAAAGCGCGCGCGCACGCTTTTGTTGAAAATCCGTGTTGCGAAACCTTGTGTTTTTGTAGGTTTTTTGGACACACGATTCTGCAATCCTTCCGAAAACGATGGGTTTTGAAGGTTTTCGGCGTACGCGCGCGTCGTCGCGCGCGTCTGCATTTCGTCCCGTTTTTTTGCAGAGGGTTCTCGCGACGGCACACGCGCAAGGGCGCTCGACAGATTTTGACTTGCGCGCGCGAAGCCCGTTTGGTAGCATGTTGTGAAAGTCTTGACAACACATGGTTTTCTTAACATTTCGCAAGAGCTCGCGCGGAAGCTTTTTTAGCAACTCTGTGTTGCGAAACCATGCGTGTTTGTATGTTTTGTTTGGAAAGTGGATTGCGAATCCCTTCTGGCACCGAAGGTTTTTGAAGGATTTCGGCATGCGCGCGCGACGACGCGCGCGTGTGCATTACGTTTCATTTTTTGCAAGGGGTTCGTGAAAAAGTGCGATGTTAGAACAAAACATGTCACCGCATAGTGTTTTTAAAGGGAACCTCAGGGGGGGAGCCCGGTTTGGCTGGGATGGTATGGTTTCATATTTAGGATGGACGAGTGTGCAGAATCTATATGAAATCCTATTATCCCAGGGGGGCGCGATAACTCCGGGGGGGGGTAGAGTCTATTCTCTTCTTAGAAAGGGGAATCTAGGTTGTGCAATATGTATTGTGCAACCTGTATGGTGCAATCTGGCGGCGACGATCGGCGACGGCGGCGGTGGGGCGGCGACGGCGGCAACATAGCCGCCAGACGCACAGGCAGGCCCAGTTACGGGCGGCGACGGGGCGGCGACGGCCACAACAGAGCCGCCAGACCGATACACAGGCCCAGTTCCTTAGAAAAGAAATAAGAACCCCTAAGTGCAAGCACTGTTTGGAGATGAACGTCGAGCACGCCAAGCACCCCTGTGACGAATGCAGAGGGCTGCAGATCAATCTGCCAGCGGCAAGTTCCGCCACCGTGCCAGCCCAGCATTCTGAGTGGCGACTGTTCGAGGGGGCGCGGGAGGCCGTCACGTGTGACACCTCATGTTCCCAGGCTTGGGAGGGCCGTGATGAGGATGATGAGGGTGAGCATGAGGCTGAGGCTGAGGATGAGGATGGGGATGAGGATGAGAATGAGGATGAGGATGATGATGATGATGAGGATGATGATGAGGATGATGATGATGATGATGATGATGATGACGAGGAGGACGAGGAGGACGAGGAGGAGGATGATATGATGATGATGATGCTGATGCTGATGATGATGATGATGCTGATGCTGATGCTGATGCTGATGATGATGATGATGATGATGATGATGATGATGATGATGATGATGCTGATGATGATGATGATGATGATGATGATGATGATGATGAAAATGGTAATGATGATGATGATGGCGAGGAGGAAGAGGAAGAGGAGGAGGAGTAGGAGGAGGAGCAGGAGGCGGCGGAGAAGGAGAAGGAGGAAGAGAAAGGCTGTCACAGTTGACACCTTTCACTTTCATCTCTTGCGGAGCCCTAATGGAGTTAATTTGACCGGTCTTGGGGCTACCTTGGTCTCCTGTGGGGCAGTCTTCAGGGCTCCTTGGGACCGTCTTGGGGCCGTCTTGGGGCTCTTCGGCCGTCTTGGGGCTCTCTTGGGCCGTTTCTTGGGGCGATCTTGGCCGTATCGGGGGTTGTCTGGGGACCGTCTCGGGGCAGTCTTTGGCCGTCGAAAGGCCTTCTAAGGTCGTCTTGGATCCCCCTGGGGACCCTCTTGGGCCGTGTTGGGGCCGTCCGTCTTGGATGCCATTTGGGCCATCGTGGAGTCCTAGTGGGCCATCTTGAGACCCTCTGGGGGGCCTCTCTGGCCGTCTTGGGGCCATGTGGGATGCTTCTTGGGCCGTCTTGAGTTGAGAGACGCTCACACACCTAAGGGAGCTCAACGGTTTGGGCGTCTTCGGACCCTGTGGGGGGTCCTTTTGTGGCCCTCAAAGGCCCTCTTGGGCCGCCTTGGGGCCATCCTGGGCCGTCTTCGAGGCATCTTGGGCCATCTTGGCGGCCTTGGTTGCCTGCCTGGGCCGTCTTGGAACCTCGGGAGGCGGATCCATAGTTTGTTACCTGGGATCGTGGCCTCTGGAGCGCAAATGTTTCATCGTCTTTTGCCCAGAGATCGTGGCCTCGGGAGAGGGGGACGAAAATTATCCTGGCGAGGGACCCAACCATGTGCAGTTGTGAGTGACGCAGTTGTGGGTATCGACCTCGGTGAACCTCTCTGGGGTCACGACGCGTGTGACGGGTGTGCCAAAATTGGCACGGGTACGCCATGCGGACGTTGCCACCAGAGCCGTCGGTGGAGCGACCTATGGGGCCGCGGAACGTGCAAGGGGTGCGCCGAAATGGGGGGTGGAACTGCATGCGGACCCTGCCACTGGCCTCTGGAGCGCAAATGTTTCATCGTCTTTTGCCCAGAGATCGTGGCCTCGGGAGGGGGGGACAAAAAAAAAAAACATATGTTACCTGACAGCCCTTGGCATGCTACCACGCCTCAACGTACCAGGGTGCACGGTGGCGGATTCACCGTCACCTTTGCCGTTGGAGCTGCCAGCACTCCCGCGCCGAGCCTGCGTGGATCGTCCAACGACCCGCAGCGAAGTTGCGCCTTCTGGGACGGCTTGGACATCAAGGGCAGCGTGTGCCCGCAGCAGTGGCAGGGCCAGTACGCCGGGACTGCCTCGTGCAAGTCGTGCTGGGAGGGAGAGGACTGCGGGTGGACTTGCGGCTTGACGGACGGCACCAAGGCCGGCGTCGACCTGCAGGCGTACGTCCACGCGTCTCACGGAGAGGGCTACTGCGCTCGGAACCCATCCAACGACCCGTGCCTCGGCTGGCAGGTGTTCGGCGATGGCTGCACCGATTGTGCAGCCAACGGCATGAGCAGCAGCGCCCAGGCGTCTGCTTCCCTGCAGTCCACCGACGCGCAGCGAAGCTGCGCCTTCTGGGACGGCTTGGACATCAAGGGCAGCGTGTGCCCGCAGCAGTGGCAGGGCCAGTACGCCGGGACTGCCTCGTGCAAGTCGTGCTGGGAGGGAGAGGACTGCGGTGTGACTTGCGTTTGACGAACGGCACCAAGGCCAGCGTCGATTTGCAGGCGTACGTCCACGCGTCTCACGGAGAGGGCTACTGCGCTCGGAACCCGTCCAACGACCCGTGCCTCGGCTGGCAGGTGTTCGGCGATGGCTGCACCGATTGTGCAGCCAACGGCATGAGCAGCAGCGCCCAGGCGTCTGCTTCCCTGCAGTCCACCGACGCGCAGCGAAGCTGCGCCTTCTGGGACGGCTTGGACATCAAGGGCAGCGTGTGCCCGCAGCAGTGGCAGGGCCAGTACGCCGGGACTGCCTCGTGCAAGTCGTGCTGGGAGGGAGAGGACTGCGGGTGGACTTGCGACCTGACGGACGGCACCAAGGCCAGCGTTGACCTGCAGGCGTACGTCCACGCGTCTCACGGAGAGGGCTACTGCGCTCGGAACCCGTCCAACGACCCGTGCCTCGGCTGGCAGGTGTTCGGCGATGGCTGCACCGATTGTGCAGCCAGAGGCATGAGCAGCAGCGCCCAGGCGTCTGCTTCCCTGCAGTCCACCGACCCGCAGCGAAGCTGCGCCTTTTGGGACGGCTTGGACATCAAGGGCAGCGTGTGCCCGCAGCAGTGGCAGGGCCAGTACGCCGGGACTGCCTCGTGCAAGTCGTGCTGGGAGGGAGAGGACTGCGGGTGGACTTGCGACCTGACGGACGGCACCAAGGCCAGCGTCGACCTGCAGGCGTACGTCCACGCGTCTCACGGAGAGGGCTACTGCGCTCGGAACCCGTCCAACGACCCGTGCCTCGGCTGGCAGGTGTTCGGCGATGGCTGCACCGATTGTGCAGCCAACGGCATGAGCAGCAGCGCCCAGGCGTCTGCTTCCCTGCAGTCCATCGACGCGCAGAGAAGCTGCGCCTTCTGGGATGGCTTGGACATCAAGGGCAGCGTGTGCCCGCAGCAGTGGCAGGGCCAGTACGCCGGGACTGCCTCGTGCAAGTCGTGCTGGGAGGGAGAGGACTGCGGGTGGACTTGCGACCTGACGGACGGCACCAAGGCCAGCGTCGACCTGCAGGCGTACGTCCACGCGTCTCACGGAGAGGGCTATTGCGCTCGGAACCCGTCTAACGACCCGTGCCTCGGCTGGCAGGTGTTCGGCGATGGCTGCACCGATTGTGCAGCCAGCGGCATGAGCAGCAGCGCCCAGGCGTCTGCTTCCCTGCAGTCCACCGACCCGCAGCGAAGCTGCGCCTTCTGGGACGGCTTGGACATCAAGGGCAGCGTGTGCCCGCAGCAGTGGCAGGGCCAGTACGCCGGGACTGCCTCGTGCAAGTCGTGCTGGGAGGGAGAGGACTGCGGGTGGACTTGCGACCTGACGGACGGCACCAAGGCCAGCGTCGACCTGCAGGCGTACGTCCACGCGTCTCACGGAGAGGGCTACTGCGCTCGGAACCCGTCCAACGACCCGTGCCTCGGCTGGCAGGTGTTCGGCGATGGCTGCACCGATTGTGCAGCCAACGGCATGAGCAGCAGCGCCCAGGCGTCTGCTTCCCTGCAGTCCACCGACGCGCAGCGAAGCTGCGCCTTCTGGGACGGCTTGGACATCAAGGGCAGCGTGTGCCCGCAGCAGTGGCAGGGCCAGTACGCCGGGACTGCCTCGTGCAAGTCGTGCTGGGAGGGAGAGGACTGCGGGTGGACTTGCGACTTGACGGACGGCACCAAGGCCAGCGTCGACCTGCAGGCGTACGTCCACGCGTCTCACGGAGAGGGCTACTGCGCTCGGAACCCGTCCAACGACCCGTGCCTCGGCTGGCAGGTGTTCGGCGATGGTTGCACCGATTGTTAGGAAATCGGGTCGCCTCAACCCTCCTGCATGCAAGCAGCTGGTCCATCCGAGTAGAGCTGCTCCTAACGGGCCCAGAGGGGCGCGCCTCGTTCGTCGCGCCGACAGTGCGCGACGCCGTACAGCTTGTGTAAGGGAATTTGACGTGCAGAGCGAGTGTTCTGCAAGCTTCAGTGTCCACGGTGGCAAAGATGAAGACATTCGCGTCATCCAGTTGGTCGGAGGTTAATAGAATCCGCACGTTGCCAAGTCGATTAGCGAATTGCCATTCGTTGGTTTTCGAGAAGGTTTGCGGCCGCATGTTTGCGGGCTTGCGCCCGCCAGGTGTGGTCCCCGGGTCGTTTTCACTACAGGGTGTTTTGCGGAAGGGGGTTTTGCCCCTGAGTTGCAATCTATGTGATGTATGCGATTTGGTGCAAAGCATGTGTTGCACTCTATACGTGTGGTGCAAAATGTTTGGTGCAGCATGCACGGTGCACTCTGTGCAGTGCATGCCATTCGATGCAAGCTATGGGGCGCCGTCTGCGTGGTGCAATCTGTGGGGTGTGAGCAATGCGTGCTTCGAGCCACCAGCAAACCGTATTAGGTGCAGCATTTAGGGTGCACTCTGCGTAGTGCATGCCATTCGATGCAAGCTATGGGGCACCATCCGCGTGGTGCAATCTATTGAGCGCAATTTGCGTTTGCAATCTATGGGGTGTGAACAGTGTGTGCTTCGCGCCGCCAGCCAACGGACGGGGACGCCCACGAGGCGCCCACGGACGGCGGCCAGGCGAAGCCCTGGCAACCCAGCCAAGGCGCGAGGCGCCCCCACGGGCGGCGCGAGCGCAGGAGGCGCCCGCGGGCGGCGACCCGGCGAGCGCCGTGTGAACCCGCCCGAGCACTTGCGCAGAAGCCGCGCAAGCTGCTGCTAAAGATCTGGCCATCCCTGCAGACGTGGGGCCCCTGCCCCCCTGCAGAGTCCTGCAATGTGGGACCGGGCTGTGCCGGAGCAGGTTTCGGCCCCACACCCGGCTTTGTTTTTCTTTGGGAGGGGTTACTGTATGTGCATCGCGGTGTGGAAATTTCCCCCGCCCGTTTTTCCACATGGGGAGCTTACACCACCGCCGGGGTGGTTCACCCCGTTTTATGACTACGGCGAGCGGGTTCCTGTGTTCTGGGACACCTCGCCTCATCGCAGTATCGCTTGAGGAAGCGCTCTCTCCGCGCATCTCGATTCACAAGCGCGCCGTAACAGATGTCACAACCATTAGCCACGCTGTAGTAGTGCAAGCACTGTTCGAGGAAGGAACGCGGGATCGGAAGTCTGTGTCGAAGGGGGCGCCCCCCGGCCCTGTCTGCGTCTATTCGTCGTCAGCAGCGGGCGCTTTTCAGCGTCTGGTGACAAGGGTCTCCGATCTGGCCCGATCCGGCGCAGCCCCAGGCCGGTTCGGCATCGATCCGACTCGAGAAAATCTTCGATTCGAGCTCTGGTTTGTGATTTTGGAACCGACGCGGCGATTGCCGACTTGGCCCCGATTCCATCACTGACGACTGGGTTCCGACCTCGACCCGGCTTCCCGATCTAAAGCTGGCCCCTATTGGGCGGCCCTCGGGGCCGTGGGGGAGGCTCCGCTGGTGCGCTCATGTTCGTGATCATTGAGTCTTGGGTGCGTGCTTGTTTCGAACTGGAAGTGAGAAAAGAGTAAGGGGAAGCGCAGGAGGGAAGAAGGAGGATGAGAAGGGACGAGGAGGGAGGAGGGAAGAGGGAGGAGGGAGGAGAGGAGCGATGGGAGAGGATGTGTGAATGAGGTAAGGTGGAAGGTTGGCTCTGTGTCGATCCTGTTTCTGCGTCTAGATCCGACATTCTCTGTGCCCCAGCCATGCCACATTTGGTGACTGCGGCGCTATCTTTATCCGTTGCTCTTTTGACTCGAGTGTCTTGCTGGGTGATCAACTCTGTCCCACTCTTCACATCACCTGACAAGTTTGACCCATGGCAGGGTCGATTTTGTCCAAGGCGCCTACGGCGAACCACCGCCGCCCCCTGCCCTCTGGAAATGCCCATGCGGCCAAACCTGGCCCCTATTGGACTATGTGTGTTTCCCAGCCGTTGTGGAACCCATTGGGGGAACAGTCGGGAGAGAAAGAGGAAAGAAGAGGAGAGGAATGAGGAGGATGATGAAGAGAAGGAAGGGGAAAAGAAGGCCTGTCGAGGCCGTCTTGGGGCTTCCTGCGGGCTTCTGGGGAGCCTCTTGGAGGCCTCGTCGGGCCCTCTTGGGGGCCTGCTGGGCCTTCTTGTGAGCGAGCCTTTTCGGGGCCTCTGGGGGCTTTGGGGGCCTCAGATGAACCTCTTGGCCTTCGGAGGCCGTCTTGGGAGCCTCTCTGGGCAGTTGTGGGGCCGTCTTGCGGGCCTCTTGGGCTGTCTTGGGGCCTCTTGGCCCGTCCTGCGGGCCTTGGAGGCCTCCTGGGTCGTCCAAGGGCGATCTTGGGAGCATATGGAGCCGGCTTGGAGAGCCGGAAGCCCGAAAGGGCGAACACATTAACATCACTGGAAGACCTGAGTCAAGGCAGTAACTTTTTGGCCTCCTGGAGTTCCTCTTGGAGCACTCTTGGGACCGCTTTGGGATCGTATTGGCCGTCTTGGAGGCGTGTTGGAGGCCATCCTGGAGGCGGAAGAAGTGAAGATGGTTTCTGTTTTTTCTGTGTGGCCGGCGGGTTGTGCCAGAGGCTGGTGGGAACCGTGTGGGAGGGTGCACAACAATATGTTAGCCAGCGTGGACCTCAAACAGTGTGTGTGTTGCTTATGTGGAGCAATATATGTGATGCAACCACGTGGAGCAATCAATGCTGTGCAATCTAGGTGGTGCAGTTTACGTTGTGCAATCAGTTTTAGGAGCATACGATCTGCAATATATGTGGTGCAGTTGATTTCTACAAGCGAGTTGACACAATCCATGCCTTTGCAAACTTCCCACCCACCCACCCGCAATTTGGTTTGCAAAACCCATGCGGCGGCCATTGCGATGCGTGCTTGGTGTTGGTTTGTGCATCTCTGTGGCCGCGCTAGCCCGCGCATGCTTGCGCGCACAGCGGCCAGCTAGTTTGGCACGGTCGACGCGGCCGCGGTGTCGCTGACCCTTGGGCACTTCAGTGCAGGCATTCCAGTGCGAGTCGGTGACTTGGGCGGGCGCGGTATCATGGCGACACTGACAGCGGTAGACATGATTTCGAGAGCAGCGGTGGTGACGGAGGTGGCGATGACGACGGCAAGGCCAATGACGGCGCCGTTGTTGATCACGCCCGCCGATACCGATGATGATGTCCTCGCGTTGGCGGTGAAGTTTTTGGAAGGCGTTAGACATGAGCGCGCGCGGCCGATACATACGATTGGCCCGCGCCGTATTATTTGGCACGGATCATGCCCCCCCAAAAAAAAAATTATGCGCAAGGGTGTCCAGGGAGGAATTCGACATGCGGCGCGAGATGCCCGCTTGGCAGAATGTGGTGAACATGTGGAAAAGACACCTATGTTTTTTGATTCCGCAAGAGCGCGACCGCAAGTTTTTGTTGACATCTGATGTTGCAAATCCGTGCGTTTACATGTTTTCGGGGCACTCGGTTTTGAAACCCCTACGAAACCTCAGGTTGTTCAATGATTTCGGAATTCGCGCGCGTCGACGCGCGCGACCACGGGGCCCTAACCCGACGCAAATTACATATCGCGAGAGGGGGACTGTTGAGTCCGGCTTCGGTAGGGGGTATGGTATATGTTGATCATTGTTTTGGAAACGAGAGTCCATGTGACGCAAGTATGTGGGACAACCGGTGTTGTGCAATATATATATATATATATATATATATATATATGTATGTATGTATGGAGTAATCTTCGTGGTCCATTATATGTGGTACGATCTATGTTGTGTTATTTATGCTGTACAGCAGAGGTGGTGCAACACGTGTTGTACAACGTTTGGGGTGCAATCTATGTCGTGCAATTGATTTTAACAAACGGGTTGACACATCCCGCGCTCTTGCAAACATCCCACCCACCCACCCGCAACTTGGTTTGCAAAACCCACGACGACGATGACGACGCCGACGACGACGGTGACGACGACGTCAACGACGACGACGACGTCAACGACGACGACGACGACGACGGCGACGGCGGCGACAACGACGACACCGACGACGACGACGACGCCGACGCCGACGACGACGACGAAGACGACGACGACGTCGCAAACGAAGACGACGACGAGGGAGGAAGGAGGACGACGACGGCGACAACGACGACAACGATGACAACGACGAGGGAGGAGGGAGGACGGCGACGACGCGAACGACGAAGAAGGAGGAAGGACGGCGACGCCGACGACGACAACGACGAGGGAGGAAGGAAGACGACGACGACGAACGACGACGACGACGACGACGACGGCGACGAAATGGTAGGGATGACGACGAGACGCCGACGACGGACGACGACGACGACGACGGGAGGAGGAGGAAGGACGACCACGGCGACAACGACGACGGAAACGACCACGACGCCAAAGAGGACGACGACGACGAACACGAGGAAAGACAGAGGACGACGTAGGCGACGACAACGACGACGCGGGAGGAGGGAGGACGACGACGACGACGACGCAAGAGTGCGCGCGCACGCTTTTGTTGTAAATCCGTGTTGCGAAACTTTGGGTTTTTATAGTTTCTTTGGAAACGCGATTTTGAAATCCTTCCGGTCCCGATTGGTTTTGAAGGTTTTCGGCCTACGCGCGCGACGACGCGCGCGTCTGCACTTCGCCCCGGTTTTTTGCAGAGGATTCTCGCGACGGCACACGCGCTAGGGCGTTCGACAGATTTCGACATGCGCGCGCGAAGCCCGTTTA